CGCGCCCTGACCGCCGCGCCGCCCGCCGCTGTGCCACTGGGAAACTCCCCGCCCGCCCCCTCTGCGTAGAAGCGAATGCGATAAGAAGCGATCGGTTTTAAACTTGGCGCCCGTCGAGATGGTCGACGGAGTTCCCGCCAGGTCCGACAGATGGCGGCTTAGCCTTCACCGACAAGTCTTGTGCGCGGTCTTTTTTCGGGTTCCCAGTTATACATGTACCTCGCGCAAACACTGACTCGACGATCCTTCTAGGTTTAACGGGAAATGATGAATGGATTTTCAAACGCTGTGTTTGAAGCCTGAGTCCTACTTTGTTACGACTTGTCAGGCTATTCCCATCTGATCCTTCCTAGTTGGGTCCTCACTTGTCAAAGCACTATCGACTATTCTAAGGCAACGCAGGGAACTGTGACGTGACACCAAATTACATGCCATGCACATCTGTCCTCTTTCGCGTCTCCCGCACTGCTCGCCCGGCCGCACCCCGCCAGTCACATGCTCACATCGACATACCAACAACAACCGCCACCCGACCCGACCCTGCCCTGCACTTGAGTCGTCTCGCTCACCAACATTTTACTGGACCTCTCCTCCGCGGCATTCCTCTCGGTAACAGGCCGCAAGTCGCAAGTCCGCGCACCAGCGGCCCGGCCCGGGGACCCACCAGAGATGAGAAACGGTCCCGACCCGGTCCCCCTTTCCGGGCCCTGCGCTGATGCGGGCCGGTCCCGGTCCCGGTCCTTCAACCCGGGCCCAGGCCCGGACCGGACCGGGACCGCTCTTGACCGGGACCGCTCTTGACCGGGTTTGGTTGGCCGGCCAAAACGGCCTAGCCCGAGACCCAGTCCGAGTCCGGGCCCGGTCCCAGTCCGGTCCCGGAACGAAGTACGACGCGACGACCGACTGGAAGCGTCTGCCCGCCTGCTCGGGCGAACAGACAGTGCCGGAACCCGGGACCGGGTAGGGACCGTTTCTCATCTCTGGGACCCACCCTGCCGTGCGAGGCCGGGCGGGGCGGAGAGGGGTCGGGTGGGGCACATCCTCTCTCACGTCGCGCGCGGTAGGTGTTCAACTCTGACTTTTAGGAGGCCGAGTGCGTCGCCATGCCGGCACTGCTATTCGTTATACCCGTTCCCGTTGACACGGGGCGCGAGGGCAAAGAGTGTCTCCGCCGTCGACCGCGCGCGCCCGCATCGCTATCGGGCGGCGCCATCCTGGAGGTCCTGGCGAGGGGAGCGGCGGGAGGGCAGAGTTCGCGCCTGGGAGGCGGAGGCAACCCGCTCGGCCCCAAAAAAGCTCACCCGAGGACATAGTGAACTTGCGATAGCGGTAGGGGACCTACAGCCTGCGGCTCGGGCACATCGCTCAGCAGGGCGACGAAGGCGGGACGAAGGTGAAGGTGGCGTGGCGACCTGCAGGAGGCGGTCGTTCTCCTTACAAGGAGCAGGTGGCACGCAGGGGCGCGGGCGCGGCGCGGCTGTAAGGCACCGCTGCGGAGCTCGCGTGGCTCCCGGCAGATTGATTAGGGGCGCCTCAGCCGAGCCGTGCCCCGCGGAGGCATACAGAGCGGAACGCTTTAGCGGCTTGGGCCGCCTTGGGCCGCCTTGGGCCGCCCCCAGCTCGCTCAGGCGCGATATGGCGTTCATAACAATCAGCCGCTAGGCGCGCCGCTCTACTCCGGCCGCTCCGGCTGCTCCGGCACGCTCCGGGAGCCGCGGAGCAGTGACCACCACATACGACGGCGGCGGCGTCAGACTCGGCTCTGCTGACCTCCGGCCACATTGCCGAAATGGAATTAGATGATGGCCACGAAGCCACCATCATCTAAACCATCTACGGGTTGAGAGGGTGAGACCAAATAACAGAGGGCAGTAGGTGACCAGCGCGAGGCTGCACGGGGCACTGCCCGCGGGGCGCGCTCTGCTCTGCCCGGCTGGAGGCCGGAGCGGGTCGACCCGCTAGCACCGCGTGGCGCCGCCCGCGCGGCACTAACTCGACGAGACGTACCAACAAGACGGACAGAGCCCCACAACAAGTTGTCACGTCGGGACGTCGCGCGTCCGTCAGCCAGCCTGCCCGGGCGGGCGGGCGGTGGCGGACGGGACACCTGCGGCCCGACCCACATCCGAGCGAACGGACAGTGTTAATGTGAGAAGCACTCGGATGTAATTGGGGCCGCCAGCAGCCGCGCGAGCCGAGCTGGACACAACGGACCGGAGAGAGCAGTCCATTACACGGGACAGACAGGCATTATTGATTTTCACCGTTGATTAGTCCCGTGCCATTCCTTAGTGTACTCAAGATTCGACGCAATAATTGCACTTTTTTTTTCGTTTTGCGAAGCCAGTTTTCTCTGTCGGTGGAAAAAAAAATATTGGAGAAGAAATAATTGATTGATTGATTGATTGAAATAGGTCAGATCGCATCGGAACCGAGGCGAGGTGCACTGATGCACTACCGGACCGGCCGGCCCACTTCCTCCTAACGGCAAAAATCATGAAGCGGGCCGGACATGTCGGTTTGACTCTCCGCGGAGCAAAGCGCGCGAGCGGCACGCGTGGCGCGGGGAAGGCAGGGGAGGGGGGGGGGCGGAAGCTGTCCGGAACGAGAGGGGCGGATGCACTGTGTCTGGTGGCGGCCCCGGAGCCTAGCCTGTCTAAGCGTGCGCAGGCCCAACCTTCTGCCCCAAAAAGAAAGTAAAAAAGTGACATTGTAAACAGAAACGGCCCACTTATGAAATAGAATGTTGTGAGCAATTTTTTTTTTTCAAGATTTTCAAAGTAACGTTTCCCCAGTCGCATGCACACAATGTATACTGTAGTATGGTTACGTTGAAAGGGCGAGCAGTAATACTAATTGGGTCCTCTGCAAAGTTGTTGCCGATGCGTCACCCCTGGCGGGGGTGCCTTACCTAACGCGCGAGATGTGGGTCACTACTGGTAGCGCGGCGCGCAGCGGGAGCCGCCCGCCTCCTGCTTCACACTGTTCTTCGCACAGGTCAGGATCGCGCGCGCACCGTGGGAAGCCCGGCGCCATGCCGCCGGCGCCCACCCTCTCTGCAGAGCGCCGTGTTGTCTTCCTGTTTCCTGCTTGTCCGCTTTTTGAAGTGTCGTGTCACCCTGAGCTCACGCCCGCCTCTCTGTCTCTCAGGGACCTGGAGATCACGACGGAGCTGACGGAGCGCGCGCCCAGGCCGCAGCTGAGCGTGGGCGTGCGGCAGGGCGGCCAGCCCATCTCGGGCGAGCTCAACGTGAACCCGGGCACGCCCCTGCAGATGGACGTCTACCTGGACAAGGCCTCTGCGCCCATCTACGGGCTCCTCGTCTCCTACATGCAGGTCACCGACACCAAGAATCAGGAGGAGACCATCATCTTCAACGGGTGAGTAATATTTTGATCGTGCTCACCGCCCTGCCCCCACACGGATCACGGATGTCAAATGGTAGGGCGGTCTTTTACACTAGCCGACGCGAAGGAACGTTGGGCGTAAAATGGTCCCTTTCCAAAGCCCCCGCACTTGTGCTGGGCGGGCCGCCAGCTCGACATACATGCTTGGCGGGTTGGCCTACCCTGCGCACGGCAGGCGCTAGGCGCTATCGTCGCCGTCACCTCCTGAAATGTTCATGGTGAGGGCAGCTTTCCCCCTACATTTGAAGCAAAGCGTGATAAAATGCCACTACCATTCTGATGACCATGTTCCACTCGGGCAGGGGCGGGGCGGGCAGGGGGGAGTTCTTCTTACCCGTAAGCAGCGTCAAGTCAGTCATGACGAGAAAAATCACCCCGGAGATTGAGCGCTCCCCGGGCTAACCAGGAGGGCTCGAGGCCCGGCCCGGGGCTAGAGGCGGAGCCAGAAGTGGGTCACTGCTGTTTTCTGGACGAAGTGCAGTTTGCTTTTCCCGCTGTCTCGCCCCGACGGGACGCGACGCCACGACCGCGCTTCCTTCATCTGCTTGTTTTCTTTCCCTCGCCCCGCTCTGCCCGCTCCCGCCGCAGACGGCGCGACGCGCTCCTTGCGCCGCTTCGGGCAATTTGTCGCCGCTGCTCCGGCCCGTTCGCCGCTCGTCACTGACTCGTCACGTGACGGACACAGATCCGTCACACACGCCACGCCGTCGCGCGCGCTCTGTTTTCTTCTCGGGTCTCAACTGCAGTGACTTGACTGGAACGGCTGTTGCAGGTGCTCCTTCGACCCGCACCTCTTTGAGAACTTCAACACGGTGGACGGCGACTTCCTCACGGCCAAGTTCCGCGCCTTCAAGTTCCCGGACTCGACCTTCGTCCAGTTTAAGGCGACTGTCAACGTGTGCCTCGACAAGTGTCAAGGGGTGAGTCTATGCTGATGGTGGCGTCTGTTTACCGGGCTACAGGCTCTTTACGGGCTACAGCACAGCAGTGTTGTGGGTTTGCGTGGAGCGATTGCTACTTTGGACGTGCGCCCTAACACTCTCTTACCCGCCAGGTGGAGTGCAGCAACGGCCAGGTCGGCTACGGCCGGCGGAGGAGGCGGGCCGTGCCCGACATGTCGGCCGACCCCAACGCCATCTACAAGGTGACCATGATCACGTTCATCAAGGTGGACTACTCGGACGACGAGCTGCTGCGGAAAGGTCAGTCCTCGCCCACACCCTGGCCCACGCCCACGCCGGTGGCCTCGAACGCCGCGGCGGTAGGCAACCCATCCGGCACCCCGCCACAGTGAGAAATGAGACGTCGAAATCGAGAGAGCGTCGGAACGGCATCGTATCGAAATCGTTTGCACCCCATTTCCCACCGGTCCGCGTGGTCCCAGTGGGCCAATCAGGAGGGGGTCATAGCCGTCAAGTCGTGAGCGCAGAGAGCGCGGGCTAACTGTTGGACTTGTCGCGAATGGAGGTCGTTCGGCCCAGACACTCCTGCCGGCCCCGGCCGTGTCGTGTCGTGAGTCATAAAACCCCCTAACCGGCTGGTGCTCCTCCCCACCGCAGGCCCTGGCAACATCATCCGCGCCGACTCCGAGCTGCCGCCCCGACGCCGCAACGCGACCCCCGTGCTGGCCACCAACGGCCTCGCGGACGTGGCGGACGCGGCCGACTCGCCCGCGGGACAACAGAGCCTGCAGCTGGCCGACGAGCACGTCCGGGAGGAGCTCGCTTACACCGTGGTGCGGTCGGGGGACCCCAGCGCGGCCTCCTCCGTGACAGCGTCCTGGTGCGTGCTGACACTGCTGCTCGTGGCCGCCGCGACACTCCGGGCGCACTGAGGGGAAGGCCCACGGTGCTCCCATCTAGCGTCTTCAAGATGAGGTGATTTCCCCCTCTAAGCCGTCAGTTCTAAATTGTAATGTGCAAACGATAACGGCAAAAAAACAATTCTCCTTGCCTTTCTGAGGAATCCATTACATCTTTTCTTTTAATAGTACAAGACAGTACATTTTTTAAAGTAACAAAACAGTTCAGCTTCTAATTGAAATTTAAAAAGCAACTATTGTATTTTTGTACATATATCCTTTTTTTTTCTTTGTGTTGAGAAATTTATTTCAAAAATGTCTATTCGAAATTTTTTACTTCCGTTTTTCATGTAAAAAAAGTTTGTAACTAAGTCTTACCTTGAGTCTTACCTCCTTGTTGAGGGCATTAAAGTGCCAGTTTTCCCCTTGACAGATTTTTAAATCCAAGCTTGATGTGTGATAAATGTAGATTAGTCTATCATAATTAATATTAGAAGAGTTTTAAGATATTAATAATAGCAAGAAAATGTTTAAAGTAGAGTTTTTAAT